CGTGCAGGATATATTATCACAGAATGTCGAAATCCTTCTCGACGAGGCAACGGGCATTCAATACACAAAGACCTTTGTACAGGGCATACCAAACTGCTAATGATGCTTCCAAGGGACTAAAAGTAGAGACACCTCCATCCAGTACTATTCATGACCCAAATATGACAATGTCCCAAACATCAAATGATATTCGACAGTTGGTACAAAACTCTGTCTCTACGGCTATCTCTTCTACGTTCTCCACTATGGGCTTGTCTGGTATGAACTCTCACCTATCCCCTAATGTAAATCCACTTTGGTTTATTGACTCAGGTGCGTCTAATCATATGACTGGAGTGCACACAAGTCCAACATTTACTAAACCATACCACGGTAATAGTAAGATTCTCACCGCTAACGGGGAGAAACTGAATATTATTGGTACTGATAATCTTTTACTTTCTATCTCCCATGGTACACCTTTTCATTTACGTAATGTCCTCTTCGTTCCTAAATTAACTGTTAATCTAATATCTATGGACCAACTAGTTGATGATGGTTACAATGTTCAATTTTCTCATGATGGTTGTTTAATACAGAACCAACGCACTGGGAGAGTGACAGGGAAGGGGCGTAGAATTGGATGTTTATTTGCCTTGGAGTTTGAGAAACCAAATCATGATACTTCTTTCTTTTCTCCATCGAATTCTGATTTTTCTGTTTCCAATAAACAATGGCATATGTGGCATCGGAGACTTGGTCATCCGAATGCAACTAAATTAGATACTTTGTTTCGTTTTGGTTCATTGCCAAATAAAACACTTGATTTGAATTCTATCAATAAATCTTGTAGTAGTTGTTCTTTGAATAAAAGCACCAGTTTGCATTTTTCGACTCGAGTAGATACAACAACTACACATTTCCATTTCATTTATAGTGATGTGTGGGGTCCTGCTCCAACTTTATCTAGAATGGGATATAAGTATTTTGTTTTGTTCATTGATGATTGTACACGCTATACCTGGATATACTTTATGCGCCACAAATCAGAAGTGTTCTCCCATTTTAAAACGTTTTTATCCATGATTGCAACTCAATTTAATATCAAAGTAAAAATCTTACGGTCAGACTCCGGGGGGAAATATTTGAAAACATAGGGTATTCAATCACTGAAAATTTGTCCATATACTCCACAACAGAATGGCATGGCTGAAAAGAAAAACCACCATATCTTAGAAGTTGTGAGAACCCTTATGCATGACTCTTGTGTTCCTCATAGTTTTTTGGTTGAAGCTGCATCAACAGTTGTTTATCTCATAAATCGCCTCCCATCCTTGGTTTTACATAAACAATCTCCATATTATTTTTTATTTCATGTTCATCCTGATTATTCACTATTGCATGTTTTTTGGTGTGTATGTTTCGTTCATCTTCTACCACATGAACGAATAAAATTTTCGATTCAAGCAGTCACTTGTATTTTTGTGGTTTATTGTCCCGACCAAAAGGGGTTTCTATGTTATGATCCAACAGCTCGTCGTATATGTATTGCTCGCAATGTTATCTTTTTGGAAAACATATTTTATTACTCTTCGATAGCAAAATCATCAGGGTCCTCTGATCCTTTCTTTCTAGATTTCTCCATTGATAAATCAGCACACCTTTTAATGCCTCAACAGTAAGGCCAACACCAATCCACGCACACTCCTTCTCACCAACCAGAGCAGGATCAAACCTCCACCCTACCTGTAAGTGATTCTTTTCTTACTCCTATTGATAGCTCTACTCAGTTACACCGTTCTTCACGTGTACCTCATGCATCTGATCAATATGGTTTCTCCCTTGATGATTTTGACTTTTCACTACAGCCTAGAGCTTTGTTTACTTCTCTTGATACGATTGAGGTCCCTTTTAAAGACCTAAATCTCTCTTTACTCTCTAGATCATTATTTTCCCTTTTAGATTTGGTAGATATTCCTCCCTCTTACCAGCAAGCCTTGACTATGCCTTGTTGGAAGGAGGCAATGGATGCAGAATCAGTGCCTTGTTGGAAAACGATACTTGAGATCTTGTTTCGTGTCCTCCTCACACATCTATTATTGATAGTAAATGGGTCTTTTCTGTGAAGCTTAAATCTGATGAACGGATCGAGCGATATAAAGCCCAATTAGTTGCTCAAGGTTACAACAGGCGTATGGTATGACCACATTAGTAGGGAATATGAGAAATCCTATGCAGGTAGCACGAGGCAATGCCATATAAAAAACCATTGAGGCTAAGAAATACAAATGTATTGTTTGACCACATTGGTTGGGTATATGTTGAATCCCACGCAAGTAGCATGGAGCAATGCCATATACAAGGTTATTGAGGCTAAGAAATCTAAGTATGGTGTATGACCACTTCGGTAAGGTATATGAGAAATCTCATGCAGGTAGTATGAAGCAATGCCATATACAACGTTATTGAGGCTAAGGAATCTATGTGTGGTGTATGACCACATTGGTAATGTATATGAGAAATCCCATACAAGTAGCATGAAGCCATGCCATATACCAAACCATTGACGTCAAGAAATCCAAGTGTGGTGTTTGACCACATTGGCATGGTATATGTGAAATCTCATGTGAAAAGCATGAGGCAATGCCATGTACAAAATGTTAAAGGGCCTTCAGGGCAAGTGGGAGTTGTTGGAAATGTGGCCTATCAAGCCATTTTTCTCCCAAAAATTCTTTTTTCAATAATGGTACAAAATCCATATTGAAGTATATGTGAAATCCCATGCGATTAACATAAGGTAATGCCATATACATGGATCCATTTTTTAGCTTTAATAGGATTTATCACTGGAGTGAAAAACATAGTATCACTGGAGGGAAAACTCAGTGGTGTGTTTGGATTCTTTATAAATTGTGGGAATGCTTGGATGACATCCTATTATATGAGTCATTAGTGGACTAATGACATGTTTAGTTCATTACATTGGATTAACAGTTTGTTGACAACTTGTTAATTCTAATTAGCTGCACTTAAGGGAATTAAGGCAGAAGTAACAATTGGATCTCACCTCATATAGACCATGAATGTGAGAGTTACTAAATAAAGGTGTTCTTTATAAAATGAGGTTAACCCCTTTTAGAAAAGACGGAGAAAGATAGAAAAGAATGTGAATAAGATTTACCAAGAGGACTCTCAAGGTAGCCTGTCAACGAAGGGCTTGCTTTTTAGGTTTTGGTATGGAACTTTAAGTCCCTCGTGTGATTTAAGGACAGATCCGAGTAAGTTGTTTTATTGATTTTAAATTTTAAATTTTGTTTATTTGTTATTATTTTTATTGGAACTAATAATTACATGTTAGCTAATAAGGTGAACCGAAGTTACATGTTGCTTTTAGGTTGTGGTGACACTGTTTCTAAGTGGCAGATGGATTTGATGGCTAAATCTGTTTTGCAATAGAGTTGCACTTTAGGGAGGGAAACTAAATACCATCATTGCTTTAAGGGCTTAGGTTGGGCCAAAGAAATTGATAGTTGTTTCACATGGAGGGATCGTGCCTTGGATTCAAGGAGACAGTAGAAGAGAGAGAGAGAGGAGGTAGGACTCCGGCCAAAAAATCCTTCGAGGAGGGAGAGGGAGAGAACTCGGGCCGAGAGAGAGTGCAAGAAAGAGGGACGGAGCTCGAGCCGTATTGCGTTTGTGGACTCAGGCTGAGAGAGAGTGCAAGAAAGAAAGAGGGACAAAGAGAACTCGGGCCGGGAGAGGGAGAGAGCTCAGGTTGGGAGAGAGCGCAAGAAAGAAAGAGGGACAGAGAGAACTCGGGGCGGGAGAGGGAGAGAGCTCGGGTCAGGAGAGGGAGAGAGCTCGGGCTGGGAGAGGGAGAGATCTGGGGCCAGGAGAGGGAGAGAGCTCGGGCCAGAAGAGAGCACAAGAAAGAGGGACGGAGCTTAGGCCGTGAGTGCGTTTGTGGACTATGGGTCCCATTGCAGTAAAAAAATTAGGTCTTGTGAGAAAGAAAAGAGAGAGAGAGAGGAAAGTACGGTAGGAAAGAGGCGTGGATAAAAGATAAAGTAAGGGTAGTTTTGCTTCTTTTTTTTTTAATGTTTGGGATGGTTGGGGGTATTTGTTAAAAAACATTGTTTTGGAGAAAAAAGTAAGAGAAAAAAATTAATTTGTGCGGTAATTTTCCCTCATTCTAATGCCCATTCTGGTCCTCAGCATTATAAAGTTTTAATAGCATTATTATACCAATGCCCAATCTGGCCTGTGTGTACCCGATTTGTGAACGTCTTATTCCAATATAAATGAGCATGATCCACAAAAGCCAAGAAAGAAATACAACGATGAGCATTGCTTTGGCCCTTCATTTGCGAATAAGAACGAGAGGACATGTTTTTTTAGAGAAAGTGCCTCATCTCAAATCCTCATTTCAAAAGCGCTACGAGGAAATCTTCATCATGCTCTAAACCGATTATAAAATTTAAAGCTAAAAGAATGCTACAGATCTTGCAGATATATGAATGCCATTTTTAGGGAGAAATGGATGGTCTAAAAAATAAATAAATTTTGAAGATTAGAAAAATAATTCTATTAAGAAAACATTTCAACCGTTAGTTTCAATTGGTTTTAGATGGACCATCTATTTGCATCCATCTTTAAAATAGATGCTTTATACCTCGGGGATTGCATATATAGAAATGCAATCCCCACTGAAACAATTTTCCTGATCCAAATCACCCGGTTCTCAGACTAAATTTCATGGTTTGGAACCAGACAAGTCGCCTTGAGCCGAATCGATTCCTAATTCTAACCAAGAACCAGTTTGTCAAAGACCAATTTCTGGTCCAGATCAGTGCTTCCCGATCCAGATCAGCATAGGTGAGTTACTAAAATAACCCCGTAATTACTGTAGAGCTTTTTTCTCGTCATTTGTAAAATTAACGAGGGCCAGATCAGGAACCCACGCCATCAACTTTCAAAACCTTTTTAACGAATTTAAATTTCAAACGGCCCTTCCACAAGAATCCCGCTTTTACTCCAAATCTCATCCTCTCTGCTCAAAAATAGGGTTTCATTTCCAATTCACTTGCAGAGATAGACTCCATTACAGTCATTTGTAGAGAGAGATCAATGGAGAAAATTTGTGTAGCTGTTCGCGTTCGACCCTCCATTACACAGGAAAACATAAACGGTAGCTTTTGGATGGTAGATAGCAGCTGCATTTCCCTTCATAGCAAGCATGGAACCCCTGTCTCAAGCTTATCGTTTGAATTTGGTACGCCTCTCTCTCTAGTTTCTCGTTTATTCTTTTTTTTTTTTTGGGCAATTAATTAATTTCGAATTTATCATTGTTTCTTTCTTCTATGCTTTTTCAAAATCCGTAAGTTTGTCCATTGGCTCGACGGTTTCCCTGTAACATTTGTTTTCATCTAATTTCCAGGAGATCTGCTATTTTTAGGGTTTCATAGTCTCTCAAGTACACGATTTGTTATTCTGAACTTTGCTTTATCCTATTGTTTTTTCTTTTCTGATAATGCTCTACCCTATTGTTGCATATACTGCTTCCAATAACTAATTTTCATTCCACCAAATCCTCTCTCTCAATCTCTTTTTTCGTATCTCTCTCTCTTTATCTTTGATTTCTTAGGATTTAAAATTTTTTGTCATATCTTGCGATTGAAGCTTTTATGTGTTTTCCTTGACTGTGTCAGACCATGTATTTGATCAAGATTGCACAAATGCTAGGGTTTATGAGCTTCACACAAAGGATGTTATTCAGGCTGCAGTCAATGGGTTCAATGGTATGGTTTCCTGATTTTCTACCTTTAAAATTTGGTTTTCACTCTTGGAAGAGTTTATTCCAGTGCAATAGCTAAATGATTAATCCAATTGTGTCTGGAAGGTAGAATTTGTCCAAAAAATCTTGTGATTGTGGATGATGTTAAAAATAGTAGTAGTTTGTCTTATCTTTTTATGATGTTAGAATGCATGATTTTAAACATTTGTGTAGTAGAAATGTTAGTGTAAAAAAAGGGTGAATATTTGGGAATTCTTGGACAATTACTTGGGATGTTAAAAGATAAAAAAGAGCTAATATATGAATAAATCAAGGACCCATATTTTCAATCGAAAAACGTATTTTGCAATTTTTGGCTAAGATCATAACATTTTGTCAGCTTTTGCAGGGACCTCACTAACAAAATAAAAATTCAGCGAACTTATACTTTGTAAGATATTGGATAAGCTTTTAGGATCAAAGTTCCATAGATGGAAAAAGTGTATAGAAAATGGAATTTGGAAAAATTGATTTATAGTTTCAAACTATGTAGAAAAACATAAACATATATAATCATTTATTAAATGATTTAGTAACACAAAATTATGTAGAAAATATCATTTTTGTAAACCTTAATTTATGCAACCAAACTTGCCTTGACACCTTGCTAAGGCCGAGTAACTTTACTAAGTCTGAGGGAATAGTCAACTCAAGTAAGATTTGAACACTGTTTAGGATTCACCCCTTTTGTGTTTCAAGATTGAGGATTCAAGCTACATGTTGCTGGATTTTCCTGAATCCCTAATAATAAGTTACTTATGTTTGTTGCAAGATTGTGTTTGACGAGGTTGTTCTAGATGTAGTTTCACCTGTTTGTCACTTTGTTTCTTTCATAGTTATTGTTTTAGGTTACTACGGAAAAAAGATGCAATTTTCACCAAATTTAACTTAGATTATGGGAAAATATGTGAGAACTAGTTGTCTGGAGGCTTTAAGTGAATTTTTCATGTTATAACTTTTTTACAAGGTTTTCCTCGTGAGAATCATTGATTTTAGAAAATGGGCAATGTCATATGACCACATTTTTTACTGCAGTTATGAGTGGCATGTTCATATCTGGGTGGTCATTATTGCGGACAACCAAATAAGGAAATAATCTGGTTTACTCTTTGCAGCATGAGCTAGGTTATGTGAGTTGAATATATTGCAATTTTCTCTTTTGCATAAGGTCACTGAAGAGATACCAAGCATCTGCTTTTGGCTGTGGTGATGTATACAGGAACTGCATTTGCATATGGTCAGACCAGCAGTGGTAAGACATTTACCATGAATGGCTCTCTTGAGGATCCTGGAATCATTCGTCTTGCAGTCCAAGATATTTTCAAGAGTATCAAGCTGGTAGTCAGAATAGTTTGCTTTTGGACAGATAACCTTAATTATATGCTTATGAGTAATATTTGAAATGCTTAGAGTTGTTTTCTGAAATCCCTTGAAAACCATGTATCAGATAACTGAGCGGGAGTTCTTGATTCGAGTTTCATACCTGGAGATCTACAATGAAGAAATCAATGATCTTTTTGCCCTTGAGAACCAAAAGTTACAGGTCCATGAGAGCTTAGAGGTGAGCTCCTAAAAAGAGATATGGGAATTGGTTTTGAATGAAATGTTCACTGTTATTTATTTACTTTTCTCATAATTTATTTCTTATTTATGTTATTTTGTAGCGAGGTGTGTTCGTCTCTGGTCTTCGAGAGGAAATTGTAAATCGTCCTGAGGATATCCTCAGGCTAATTGAGTTGGGAGAATGTGAGATTCTATTAGTCTCTCTCTTTCTAATTCTAACAACTTCAATTATTTCTTACCAGTGTGAATTCCTCACTAAACTTTGTACTCCTGACTATGCAAACTAATTTTGAGACAATCTGGTTGTTTTAGCTAATAGACATGTGGGACAGACAAATATGAATGCGAGGAGTAGTCGGTCCCACACTATATTTAGGATGGTAAACCTCTCCTTTGAGTGTAAAGCTTTCTATTTTCATGTTTCATTTTTGTTTTTCTTTTGTTATTATGAATTTTTCTCATGCACTATCATTGAATCAGGTTATTGAAAGCAGGGGCAAGGATGCTCCTTTTGCAGGAGATACTTTGACTACTGATGCTGTTCGTGTTTCTGTTCTGGTTCGTATAGTAGATAATGTTCTCCAAATTTATGTCTTCCAATACCTATGTATAAAGAAAAATATATGTCTTGAGTCAGTTGCATTGGAAAGTGTTTGATTTAGTGGGCATTAGAATGCAATGAGCTTATGTGGTTCAACTTCCCCAGAACCTAGTAGATTTAGCTGGATCAGAACGAATTGCAAAGACAGGAGCTGACGGGGTGCGTTTGAAGGAAGGAAAGAACATTAACAAGAGTTTAATGGTTCTTGGTACAGTTATCAATAAACTGAGTGATAATGGTGGTAAACAACGGTAAATTTTTAATTTTGTTTCAATAAATGGTTTACCCTTGAAGAATTTCTTAAGTGTTACTTTACTTTTTTTTTTGAGGGTATTAAATTATAAAGTTGTTCTTTTGTTATAGGGGACATATTCCTTATCGGGATAGTAAACTTACTCGCATTCTCCAACCTGCCCTTGGTGGTAATGCTAAGACATCCATTATATGTACTATTGCACCTGAAGAGGTAGCTTACCTTATTTTTACTCATATAAACTTACCTTGTGTCTAATTTTTGCTTTAAGTTTGATCACTTTTGCAACTGTTCATATTTAGGCTCACATAGATGAGACAAGGGGAACCTTGCAGTTTGCAAGCAGAGCAAAACGCATCACCAATTGTGCTCGTGTCAATGAGGTTGCTCTCTCTCCCTCTCTATCTCGTTCTTTGTCGTTGTTTCATACTTGCATGTCATTGACATGCATGCGATCTCTTATCATGTAGATTAATCTATATGTGCTTTATTATTTCATGTTGTTGGCCTTACTTTTGTGCTAAACTTATTGGATTAGATGAACTCAAATATGTCTATACTGTCTCGTAAAGAATCTTAATAGCAAGCATGAGGCATTTGGAGGTGTGAAAATTGACTTTCTTTGTCTTTTTAGATAGTTGTTTGTAACCAGTAAATTATTTGAGGGCTATTACTTAATGTTTCTGGCAACTAAGTGGCTAGATACATATTGTACTCTATAGTGAAGACTTATTTATGTGCCTTATTTATTTAGGGAGATGCTTTAGGGATAACAACAGAAATCTCACCAACTGATGAACGTAGCGTAGCCGGCCCGGCCCCTTCCAGTCTCTAAGTACGAAAGAGTCTTTTAGTATATCTGTTCCCTTAGTAGTGAACGAAGTGAACCTGTAGCTATTCAGTCGGTGACTTACACGTACTAGTTACTACATAACTAGCTAACTTGTTGTTTAATCCTTGATTCCCCAATGAGATTACGTGTTCTATGTTTATTTGTTTTGAGGTTCAACCTTTGTATTTTTAGGTTTGGAAAGTAAGCCTTTTTGATTTCTACTTTTTTTTTTCCATAGGCAATATTGATGAGTAAATTATTATTAAAGGCTATTCCTAGAGCTAGATGAATCAACTTCACCATAGGTTAACTTGATTAAATAATATCTTGAATCTTGACAAAAACTTGACTGAACAACTTGCTGGAGTGAATAGATTCAATTGACTTGACCCTGTATATAGACTTAGTCAAATCTAAGTGTTTTGAGAACACAAAAGCATTAGTGAAATTTTCTAAAATAAATTTCAGAATGGACATCAACATAAAAAAGAACAAGGATCCAAATTGTAATATTGTTTTGATTTTCTTGTGCCATCAAATGGGAGTGAGCACTTACTCTTAGGTTTTGTGTTGCACACATGGATGTATGAACTGTTGACTCGAACATAGACATGCAAACTTGAGAAAAAAATATGTCAGGCATCTGAGCGTACAAATATTATTTATAGTTAGAAAATGAGAAATATATTTGATTTTATAACATGCATAAGATTTCCCTGTTATTTAATTCCTAAACATATTTGTTAATAGTTAGAAAATGAGAAATACATTTTATTTTATAACATGCATAAGCTTTTCCTGTTCATTAATTCCTAAACATATTTATTAATATTTTTTTAAATTTATGCCCTATGTTTTCCTCTCACTTGTAAACTTTCTTGTTTGAGTTATCTGCCTGCTTTATTTCATATTTTGATGCTTCAAATTCTTTCTTTATTTTAAGTAATTTTTTATGGTTGGTATTCTCTTTTAGATCTTGACTGATGCGGCCCTATTGAAGCGCCAAAAGCAAGAGATAGAAGAGCTTCGCAGAATATTGCAGGTGACAACTTGTGAAATTTAGTTTTATTTCATCGACCATTGAATATTGTGCAGCAGCTGAAGAGTTTTTACTTGGGTCAGGGATCACATTCGGAGGTATTCGAACAAGAGATTTTGAAGTTGCGAAATGAGATGCTGAAGGTGAGTAACAATTCATTGAGTTATACTTGCAGATGTTTCATTGTAGCTTGATGATTTTTCACTCTTATTTTTATGATCATTAGTTTGAATCAGAACGTGAAAAGCTAGCATGGGAGCTTGAACAAGAGAGGAAATTGCATAAAGAGCGAGATAGGGAACAACAAATGAAAATAGATAATCTTAGCAGTCTTATATGTTCTGATCAAGATAGGAATTCAGCGAAGGTATAGCGTAGGGCATGTCACCCATCGTTTATTTTGTAATTTGTTAATAATGTGATGTATTTCTCTTATTGATGTATTTCATTCTTTGAAAGACAAACAGCTGTGAACATTCATTTCCTCGACGGCTGAGCTTGGATTTCTTAGATCAGGTGCGACTAACAACTGTGAACATTCCTATTGTTTCATGTGTTTTTATTACTCTATGCTTGATAGATCATTCACTTGAACCTTAATTTATGTTTTTTTCTTCTTTTTGTCTTATTTGACATTGTGGACCAACAAGAAGTATCATGTGTACATTATGCTAGTCCCTTTTATCTTAAGATAGTGGGTTATAGTGTATATAACTGAAATTTTTACGATTTGTGTGCTAAATATATCATCATCATCTTCATTACATCATGATCATCAAAGCTTTTTCCCAACTACTTGGGGTCGGCTACAAGAATTCTGGTCCACCTTTCTACTTTATCAAGGGCTATACTCGCAGTGAGGCGAAAAGTCTCTATATCTTTTCTCATTACTTCCAACCATGTTTTTTGGGCTTACCAATTTTTCTTTTTGAGCCTTCCACTTGAACCAAATCGCACCTACTAATAGGTGCTGTACTGCGTTTTCGCTGCATATGGCCAACCCACCTAAGTCTACTTTCTCTCATCTTATCGCTTATTGGACCACACCTAAATTCTCCCGAATGTATTCATTTCAAATTCTATGCCTTCTTGTTTTGCCACTTATATATCTCAACATTCTCATCTTAGCTACACTCATCCTATAGGTATGTTGATTTGACAGTCCAACATTTTGCTCATAAAGTAAAGCTGGTCTTATAGAGCTTCCCTTTGAACTTCATTGATATTGTGGTGATCACATAAAATTTCGGTTGTGCATCTGTATTTCGCCCGCCCAGCTCTAATTCTATGTGTAACATCTTCCTTAATTTCTATACTTTCCTGGATTATCAACCCCAAATATTGAAAGTGTGCTCTTTTTGGTAGTTTTTGGCCGTCAATCCTAACCATTTTCTCGTCTCTACTCTTATTGTTATTAAACATGCATTCCATATACTCTATCTTAGTCCAACTAATTTTAAAACCTTTGGATTCTAGAGCATCCTTACAAAGTTCTAACTTTGTATTCACTCTGTGTCGGGTCTGATTGGTCAAAACTATTGCCGTCTGCGAACAACATACATCGCGGTACCTCATCTTGTAGGTACCTACTTAAGTCGTCCATAACTAAGACAAAGAGGTATGGGTTTAACGTTGACCCTTGATGTATACACTGTCACTGATAACTCACTCATCTCTCCACTAAATCTATGTTATCTGCATGCTAAATACATGAGTCAGCAAAAAAAATTCTCGTTACGGACTAGTAAACATCGTCATTTTGCAAATTCGCTAAACTTTGTGAATGAACTAACTTTGGGTTTTGATTTAACATGATGTCTTTATCTTAACCATTTATTTTGGTCCAGGGATGAAGTAAAAAATGGTTTTTTTTCTAATCACAATGTATTACTTTTGAGAGTTTGAATTTCTGATTATTTAGAATGATTTGGTAACTCATTGATGTGTTTGAAGTGATTGTTGGAAGTGTTTGTTGTATGGTTATGGATTAGTTGGAATCAGACAACATATTGGTTCTTTATTTAATAAGGGCTTCGTCAAAAGTGTTCATAGATGTTGTTAGAATGAATAATGAAAAATCAAACTTCATTATTCTCTGTTCTGCATTCTTTGTGTTTTATATGTCATCTTGTTTTTGTGCTATTATCTCTTCAAAATGTTGGTAGATGACATTGGTATTTGTATCACAGGGAAAGATCTCGTTCAGACGGGGGTATAGGGAGGGATCCATTGAGTGTCATAGCACACCACAAAAGGATGCTTTCCAAACTCCTAGTTTTAAATCATCAAATGCTTGTGTTGGAAAACACTCAAGCTATCAAAGGCTTCCTGATGCAAGTCCTATTCCAGATGAGTTTGTAGACTTTGCTGATGAAGATATGTGGGAAAAATTGAATAAGGGCCATTGCACTCCTGATTTTGATATGTTACGTATGACTCCTGAAGGGAAGTATCCATCTTTGGCAGCAAGCAACATAGCCTCGGTGAGTTTGTTTATTTTGTCATTGCTTATCAGAACGTTGTAATAGTGGCAAAGTTTCTCCCTTTTTTGTCACAATTGATTGGTTCAGCGATCTATAAATTGGTATCATATTGGCTTTTTGTGTTTGTCTGCGAGGGGGGCGCACGAATTTTCTATATGCTTATACTATACATCTCATAACTAGATGTAAGCGTATGATATTCTCCTAATATCTATCCTTCCTATTATTTATTAGTAAGGACATTCTTGTTATTTTTTGCTTTAAGTGGTGTTTGTATTAGGAATTCTTCAGCACGACAATTGGTGTTCTTTTACATCCTAATAATTTGTTCTGGCTTATCGAAATTTTAATGTCCGCATATCTTGTTTTGAGTGCTAAGGATCTAATTATATTGACTTTGGATGTAATCTCATATTATTTGGACTGCAGTGAGATATTGTTGTATGGATGCCAAGTGAATCTAATACAAATGTACACTTGATGGTATATCGTAAGTGTTTCATTGTTTGATACTTGGCCTGTGGTATTGTTGATTGCATTTCTACCATCAGCCACTAAGAGGCCTTTAGTGTTGTGAATATTTCTGATGGATGAGAAAAGTTGGCTCACTTTGCAGTCCATCTTATTGAACTTTGGCTGCAATTTTGTTTTAAAATTGGAATTTTTGTTGTAAATATTAGCTTTATATTTCAACACAATATATGGTAATGGTTCACAAGAATGAAATCTCGAAATCTAACAAAGAGAAATTTTTGCATAAAGCGTTTTTATATATATAATATCTAGATCATATTGAGAAATGAGAGTTATTAACACATTAAAGTGATTTTAATGCCTTGAGGACTGCCATGAAATGCAATATTGTTGCTACTGCCATGGATGTCATTTTGTAACTTTCCGAAGTTCAGATTAATTTGCTGTAAACTACAATACCTTATTGACATGTGATAGATCTTATGTTCATATTCATTTAAACCTTTTTCAGGGTTCTTGCTCTCTGGAATTCTACAAGGAAGAACTTGAGAATCTCAAGAAACAATGGCAATGTGTTTTGGATGAAAAAAATGAGGTAACCAACTCTTATGTTTGAAACTCATTTTTCTCCTATGACCAATCTTGGCAAATTATATGGACTAGTTCGGAGATATAGATGTAATTTTATTCTGCATGAATGCCTCCTGTGAATGATAGTGTAAATTATGATTCCCCTGCATTGAATATAACTTAATTTATAGTTAACTGCACAATAGCATGACATTTGATAGGATTTGTGCTTATATTCATATCATATTTGTATCAGGTTTCTCGCTCAGAAGAGTTCTACAAAGAAGAAGCTGGAAATCTCAAGAAACAGTTGCAATGTGCTTTGAACGAGAAAAATGAACTTGAGGTAATCAACATTTATATCTGAAATTTATTTTTAGCCCTTGTGTTAATGTGTTCATACTTTTATTTGAATTTGAACAATATGGGTAGACTGCTGGTGGTGGACATTTTATGCTTATGCTATTTTGCAGTTTTGAAGGTTTAGATAAAAGGGAGAGCTCAACTTGGATATGCAGATATTGTAGAAAACCATAAAGCAACCCAAAACCTTTTCCTATACGTGTGTTTACTTAACCTAGTAACAGAAAGTACAATTAGGGGGACTCTTTGATAGGTGACAAGCATTTGCCGACTTGACTCGCATTGTTGAATTTTAATGTCATCCTATTTTCACTTCAAAAAGTATCTAGAGAAAAACATATTTTCCATTAAAAGTCATTCACAAGTTCTGCTAAGGTTTCATGAGTGCCTAGACTTCTATAGCTAGGAACATCTCTTCCTTTGGAGGGGGGCTGGGCATAAGCAACATTTCATTTAATTGGAAATGGTGCAAAATCTTTTGATAGTTATTTGGTGTTGGTATACTGTTTCTGGCATTAATAGCTGAATCTGGCCCCAGAAGTATTAACATTACACAAATACCAAAGTCCCTGGGTGTTTGATAGGTTTGATCGGTCCACTTAGATCAACAATTAGGCTGCAATTTATCACCCCAAAACTGCTAGGATTCACTAAGGGAAAGCAATAAGTTTCACACTTAGATGCAGAGAAAACCAATCTCTCGGGCCTGCACTATTGGGCCAACTACAATCTCTTACTTTAGCAACTGGGAATCAGAATCAGAGATGAAAGTAGATGGTTTTTATGGTGCCAAATACCCTGCACAGTGAACCAACAATTTTGTATGAACCTATCATTTATTATACTTGTCCACAAGTGCATATGTTGTTTGGAAAGAAAAATGTGGGTTTGTTGTATACATGACTCAGATACTTATAGTGTATCATACACAGTCTCTCCTTGGATGTATTGGAAATTATCTTGTTATTTGAAGGGATATAGTGTGATGACTTTCCATATCCTCAAAAGATAATTGCACCTTGTAATTCTGAAACTTGGGGCCAATAGATATATTGTTTGTTTCTAGTTTATAGTTAAGGGAACCTTGTTGGTTTGGTGGCAATCCCGCTTCGGAATCTCAATCCCACGGTTCCTGCAAAAGATCTTGTAAGGACCCCGGTTTTATAATTTTGGGATCTCGCTCCCAAAAAAAGAGGACCACGTTCCATTGATCAGTGAAATCTAGTTCCATTTCAAAATAGATCTCCACTCCCATCAACCATGGTCCAAGGTTTTGGTTCATTAAAATCTTGGGTTCCATGTTTGTGGGATCTACTTTTATCTACGGATGATACCAAGTTAGAGATTACCATTGTCCCAAGTTCCCATTTTTAGGGATCATAAGTTCCATGATGGTAAAATACAGTTTTTTTTTTGCAAAGCACGAAGTTCCATTATTTTAGATTCTTAATTTGTACTAGGCATAGTCTAGAGTGGCCCATTATTTTATTAAGTCCTATTGTGTAAGTCATCCCTCTTAGTTGTGAGAATATATATTTCATTTAAAATCTTATATTTATGATGTCCTATTGTTTTATATTCTTAAATTACAATGATGAATCCTCTTAGTTGTGAGATAAGAATATATGCTTTCATTTCAAGCTTTAAAAAGCTTCTTTTATGTCAGAGAGAGAGAGAGAGAGAGAGAGAGAGAGTAGTTCATCTTGCCCCTTCAGAGAGCCAGCCTTTGAGAACTAATGGAAGCAGAGGAGACAACATTCGAAGAAGATGACCCTTGAGTGATAGGCTTTTGGGTTGTCAGGGCTAACCAGCTGATGACTTTGATTCCTATACTTTAAGAATCATGATATTAGAACAAGAGGAATCCCATTATATGACATAGTTAAACCTCGATTCCTTAACCAAGGGAATTCATACACAACCTCAGTTTTAAGTATAGTAGAGCTTAGATTCTTGCTAGTCAAAACATCGAATCCATTGACATGGGATCCCTTCCTATTAACGTAAGGATTTTGTTCCTTGTCTTGTTCATTATACGAACGCTGATCCTAACCCCAGGGAGCTTCTATTATAGACTGGTTTGGCGATTCCCGAACGATCCTGCTCCCATCTCCAACAACTATGTTCTAGTTATTACATATGGTTTGCAATTTGAGGTCTATTCTTGAACCTAAGAATTCCTTTCAACTTAATTTGCAGAAAGATAATGAAAACTAACAATTGTTTAGCAATGAATTAACGGAAGAATTGTCTCAACTCCAGCGTGAGGCAGTGTTAGCAAGGCAATTTCCGGAGAAGATATCTGAAGCTGTAGCTGACTGCAAAGACATTTTGAAAGAAGTTTTTTCTAAGATTCAGGTGAAGATTTCTCACACTCATACAGATTAATATCATGAATTTTTCTACTGCAAAATTTCCTATTAATTCTGTAACATGAACAGAGCTGCACAACTGATGAGGAGTCACTTCAGGCGGTATTGCTATCTTGTGCAAGGGACATTGGAATAAGTCTTCTTACAACTTTAGAGGGCCACTTCTCTAGATTTTTGCATGGGGAAACAGATTGTGGTGGAGCAGATTCTTTAATTGAAGAACAATGTAGATTGCTCACTGACAAGCTGAGCTTTGCTGTTGCTACTTTGAATTCTCCACAGAGTCTAAAAGAAAATAATGAACTCAAGGTAGTTGACCCTTTTCAACCAAGCGTGTAATTTGTTATGTACTCTGCCATGCATGGACATATATGTACATTCTTATATATGTATTATGCATTTAAGTATGTATGTTTTTGCAAATTCCCTCCAGGGAGGCCTTTAAAAAATGGAGCCTTAGTTTTAGACTTAATAACCAGCCATACAACACAAATTACTTGTATCTAGGTTTTTGTTGTAATCTGTAGATAATGAGTTTAACTTCTAAGGGTGATTTTGTTTTGGTTGAATTTTTCTGCATTTGATGTCTGTGTATTAGGACTAACTGGTCATTTAGTAAGTTATTTTAATTTTGTCATTGGCAAATTAAGATAAATTTTGCCTGTCCCGAAGCAATTTGCACTTGAGGGTGCACTTTAGTGTATCTTTTTGTACATTAATATGCGAAGATAGAAATTTTAGAGCTCAGATACATTGATATGCATAACTTTTTTTTTTCCATTTACATGTTAAAATTACATTTTTTAGCCAACTTTCTTATTAACAATAAGGGACGTCAAATTTTCATGCACCGATGTATCGTGTAACTTGAATGATGTTTATTCCTTTTGTGAATGATATTGTGCAGGACTTAAACTTGGAATTGAACAACCAATTGGTTGCAGCCAAGGAAAAGCGTGAGAGCCTCGAGAGACAGTGCAAGAGCCTTAGAGAAGAGAGAGACTCTCTATTACAATTTATCTCCAAGTCCACCCAGAACCTTGCAATGCTCACTAGCCAAAAGGAGGAGATAGCCAAGGTGTTGAGCATCGAGTTGCAAAGGAGAGAGGCTCTCGAAGAAGAGCTTCGCCAGTTTCGCACTGCTCTTTCCCAAAGATTTACTTCATTTGCATCTACCTGTCATGAGATCAGGGCCAATGCAAGGTGCATGAAGACATTTCGCTTGATATCCGAGTCCAAAGCACTCTAACGATTTATTACACCGCACCTATATCTCTATCACAGAGGTTAAAACTCTCTCCCCGTAATTTCTCTCTCTATCTTCTCCCACACCAGATCTTCATGTTTATCTTCAAGTGTCTCTCTCATGTTCCCCCTCACGTTTTACATTATGAGGGGGGGATCTTGTATGATGTCCTTTGATTATATTGATGTTTGATATTTGAAATGTCTCTCCTTGGCATTCAATGAATCCAAGACATAACCTTTAATTTATTGATCTTTTGTATAAAGGACCGTCCTTGTTCTTCAAGATTTTGCGATCCAACAATATTCTGATTAGATATGGGATTTCTGGACTTTAGTGAAAGTTCAATGTTTCTTTTCTTATGTTGTTTTGGCATGGTTCTTTTCTAATGTTGTTTTGGCATGGCGGCTTCTCAGAAATTCCCCCAGAGAGAGAGAGAGCTAATTTTAAACATGATGTTGACAATTCCATAGTATGTGTTAGCTGCATTAACGTAGATTAATACAGTGTCGGTAGGCATGTAAACATTAGGCATAGATTTGAGCTGAGAGAAGTTAATAAATTTACAAAACAAAACCAAGCTGCATATAAAATTGTGTTAGAGAGAGAGGCCCGACAAACTTTCTTTTTCCAAAAAAAAAAAAACTTGGAATGTCGTTGTAGTCTTTTCTTGACTTGATTTGTACCCATTTGCAACAAAGGGAAAGGGGACCATAAGCCGTCTAGTTTTGTTCCACGAGAGAAAAGGAACGTTTACGAGTGTGAGAGGGACAGGATGTTTCGTTACGAAAGAGAGAGCGAAAGGTTGTTTCATTAGGAGAAAACTCCTGTCTTTTTAGAGAGAGAGAGGGAGAGCGATTTGTTTTATGGAAAAAGTTTATATAAGGTTGCAACTTTAAAATGTAGAACTATGGATACACCTCAAAAATATATCGGTAAAAGTTATTTTAATGTTGAAAACCCTCTAATTGATCATCTCGACATCGAGATGTATGACTATAAAAAAAAAAGGATTTTGAGTTCAAAAAATGGTCCATCTCACAACATATTATCTAGACCGTCCATTTTCAAAATTTTCATATGTTTATAACTCTAGTTGATTTTAATTATTTTTAGAGTTTAAAATTTTATAATTAGATATGAAAATAGATTTTAAAATAATTCTAAAAATATTTTACATCAAAATTATATATGTAATGATAAAATTTGAAGGTTACAACCTCATGGAAAACCACACCCTTGTTTTATTTAGGGAGATGCATGGTCGCGTTTGCAACACGTGTGGTCGGTGCCACATTGTTATGCTTGTTTGTATCTCTACTTTAGTTGGCATGACAAATGGGTGCTGTCTTGTACGTGAGAGAGAGAGATGTAAACCCTCAAATTTTTTTCTATCTGAGAGTGAGAGTCGAAGAGAGAGAGTTTTTACGAGAGAAAATTCATGTTTTTTTATGGAGATAGGATTAGCAATGGGCCGGGCGACCCAACTCTAAAAACAAATAGGGCTTGGGCTGCAAAATGTGACTCGAGAGCTAGACTAGTGCCAGTGCCAGACCGGTAAGGGTAGCAACAGGTCGGGTCCTGTTGGACCTGGACCCAAATCTGAATAGCATGGTCCAAAAGTTGGACCCAAATAGGAATTTGTCGGGTCCAACTGTTAGACCCATACCCATACCTATCGAATCTCGGGTCTGGTCAGGTCCATTTCCACCCTCACTATGAGTTTTTTCTTTTTTTTATGCTCTTTTTTAACCATCATATACCTATATTATTGGTAACAAGGTGACAATCATGTACCGCTAAATTTTAAGCTATATCTGATTTGTCATTCAATAGTTAAAGATGACCATGAGATCTTATTATATACTATCTTTAATACACCCAAATGAAAAGGGCATGAAGTATTTTATCTCTAACATTTTTCGAGTACGGGTTGTGTCCAACCAGACTTGGACCTGAATATTATTCGGATCCAGGTTTTGCACCCGGACGTGACCTGCCAGGTCCAAATGTTGGACTCATACTCAGACCCGTGTTAAGTATACGTGGTAGGACCCGTGTCAAATCTAGGTCCACTGCCACCCCTACAGCCCGGCCCGCTTTTTTTCTTATTTTTTTTCTATTTTGCTTTCTGGCCAGGCCCTAACAGATCTAAGGCCGAGCTAGGCTAGAGCTTTGGGGATAAGGTCCGAACGGGGGCCAAGGCTAGCCCAGCCCATTGCCACCCTTATAGGGAGATGCGCGTTTTAACCACGCAGAGAGAGAGAGAGGGGATCCGAGGCAACAGATCCAGAGGGCGAAAGGGCGAAAGTGGTCCTGCCTTTGAAAGCTCAATTGGTATCCTTGTGATTAGACGTAGCATGGAGCGTTCGCAGAGACAGAGAGAGAAGCATTATGCATGTTTTCACCACAATTTTCTTGAGAGAGAGAGAGAGATCTTCGTGGTAGTATTTTCTTCATTTACTCTCTTCGATGGAATCCAGTTTAGGAGTCTGCATAGGCGTCTGAATCGTGGTCGTGCAGGTCTTTAACCTAGCAAACTTAAAAAAAAAAAATGGAAACTCTAACAATAAAAAAAGAAGAAGGAAAAGATCAAACATACTTTTTAGGTGCTCCATAAAAAGTAAAACGTCTTTTTTTAACAAGGCCGCACAAAGTAAAACTTCTTGTGCCGTAAAGGCTTTTCCAAGTCTTGAATGGTCAAATCGAAGTGCATTACAAGTGAAATTCCCGCTTAAAATTGAGATGAAATTGTTTTTTAAAATCAGTTTATTAGTGAATCTTAAAATTGAGATGAAATTTGGCTCTTTGGCCTGAAAGAGTAAATGTACGATATGCTCCCACACGATAATTGCGTACAATTATATTTTAGAAGAAATTGCGTCGACCAGAGCTGCATGGTCTACAAAAAAAAAAAATCCTTTTTGTGGTTTTTTGTTCCAATTTTACCTCAGGTTTGGTGTCACAAACATGAGACTAAAATTTTATTTTATTTTATATAAACTCTAGCGTTACCAGATGGCCTAGATATAAGACAAGTCCTAATTTTTAGGTCAATCCAATGTTAGGAAAATTAGATTGCCAAAAGAGAGAGTGTGGAAACTGTGGAGAGGGAGAGTGGGGCGCGGGTTTATAGGGCCTAATTTAGCACAAGCTATTTAACTTCTCAAGTATCAAATTACATTTATAATATAGACCAAAAAGAATTTAATATGACAAATATCAAACCGAACAGGATGAAAGATTGAGATTTGTATAGCCGACTCCAAATAGATGAAAAAAAGTTTTGATGATAATTATAAACATCTGCTCCACACTTCAAAAAACTTTTGTGGGGCAAGACATTGGACTGGAAATACCTGCATTGTGATGTTTAGGTAGTCTGACATCCCCAACTACAGACTAACCCAAAGCCAGGGCTGTCCAATATCTAGGTCATCTGACGGCTCTAGAGTTCACAAAAATTTTAAAAATAAATAATAAAACATCAAACATTAAACATAAAACAAACATCAGACCTAAATGGTAACACTAACAAACAACGAAAAAAAAAAGGGCAGGTCCTCATAAAATTTACTAGAGCAAAAAAGTTTACGTAGAACCCAAGTTCTAAACAATCAAATTAGAGCCCACCTTAAAAATTTCATTAGAAGAGGGTGTTTTGATGCTCAAATATCCTCAAATTGATCATTTGACATGAAGTTGCATGGACACGAGAAAACAATGGATTTCAAGTTTTGAAAATAGTGCATCTTGAAACGTATTTTTAGAACGTCAATTTTTTTAATTTTCAAGTTTTAATAGATCTGCTCAATCTACACTATTTTTTAAGCTTTAAATTTTATAATTAAAGATGAAAACAGATTTTAAGGCTATCACAATGATTGCCAGTATTGAAACCACATTTATCGATACTATTTGAAGGTGGGCTTTACTTTGATTGTTTAGAGCCTCGGCTCTATACCAACCGCACGCTTTGTACTACAGTCCGCACCTAATTTTCGCATGTTTTTGTTCCAGTATATTTTGGCTTGGAGACAAAGTGAATGTTTCAAAACAAGCAAATGGACGTAGAGAAAGAAGGAAATGGAAGCTAGAGAGAGCAAGAGTGAGAGTTAGAGAGAAGGTAACGGAAGCTAGAGAGAGAAAGAGCGAGAGTCAAGTGTCTTGCATCTCTGCTCTGCAAAATGACATGACAGGCAAATAGACTTAGAGAGAGAAGGAAATGGAAGCTAGAGAGAAAAAAAGCGAGAGAGACCTGCTCTGCAAAATCACAGGGCAAATAGACCTAGAGAGAGAAGGAAATGGAAGCTAGAGAGAGAGAGGCAGAAGGGGAACCGTAAGATAGAGAGAGACGTGTCACATCCGTGAACATTCAAACGCAAGAGCATGGAGTGCAAGGTGCACACGTGCAGCATTAGGTGAGGCCCATAACCTGCCAAGAAATGCCCATTCTCTCTCCTCCTGCGGTCCCCCAACACAATTCCAAACAAAACAATCCTCAGATTCTTTCCACCTCTCTGCAATTATGTCTCATCCTTCCTAAGAATTTCATATTTAAATTTTCTCTCTCTAACTTTCTCTCTCTAACCCCTCCTTGCTCACTCCCCAACTGACAGATATGCCTTGTCAACCCTATTTAATATCAGCCAACCTCAAGTTTTCTTAAACTCAATCCCATTCTCCTCTACCATTTCCTCCCCCAAGCTCTCTCTCTAGATCTAATGGAGAAACCAGCACCCCATGTGAGAAGGCTCAAAGAGCTTTTGGAAGAGAAGCAAGAGCCATTTCTTCTTGATGTTTACCTTCTGGAAAATGGGCACTCAAAGAAAAGCTTGGAATTCAAGGGAGACAGCAGTTGCTGGACTGCTGATGATTGCAAGAATTTACAGAGCTTTAGCAGGTGCAACACTGTTAAGATGAGGAGGAGAGAGAAACCCAATTACTCAAAGCTGCTGAAATCTGTGATTTTGAAGCTTGTTTCTTCCGCAAAGTCTGCGCAAAGGGCCTCTTCTGATGTTGGTAAGCGAGACAATGGACGGAGTTCGGATGTTTCAGGCTGTGTTGTAGACAGAGAAATTGGTGAATCGGTGGTCTTGGATCGAATTTCCTCTACGAGTTCGAGCACGGTCTTCGACTCGTGCATTGACAGCGACAATGATGACTCGCTTTCGACCTGTAATGGAGGTGATTCTCTCTCTGCTATGGTACCATTCGGGGCCCTTAAGCTGACCAATCTCAGGAAAACAGAGGTATGTAGAATTATGCCATATTGGCTCTCCTTTCTCTTAATTTTGCAAATTCATTGTGAAATTTACCTTGAGATGTTGTATTCATGGAGTTTTACTGATGAAGAAAAACAGGCTGTTGCAGATAGAAACCACGAATGCGGCTTCTTCGAAGACAGTAAGCAGCTCAGTCCTGTGTCTGTCCTAGATTTGCCTTGTGATGAAGGTTCCCCTGTCCATTACCACAGTTAGTTTCTTTCTAGAAAAACTCTCACTTTCTACTCTTTTCTCTTTCTAGCTGGTTTCTTCCAGTTTAGATAACTTCTTGTTTCTTTTGTCAAAAGTATCTGGTTTCATCTTCTTAATGGCTATTTCCTCATTTTACATTAACTTTTCAATAGAATCTCTCTCTCTCTGTGGTTCCTTCTTCTAAATGAATGTCTGTTTGCAGTGATTACAGATCAATTCTGCAACAGAACAACCAATGAGGAATACCCATCATCTACAAGTTTCAAGCTAACCCAAAAAATCACAGAGGAATCCATATTCTCTGGTTCTTTCTGGGATGTCCTTGTGCAAACCCTTAAAGAAGAACATGGCTTTCAAGATTCAGAAATGCAAGAGCTTCTTGGGTCTGATTCTTCTTCTCAATATCTAAAATCCAAGAAAGTGTTACAACAAACCAGACAACTTCTCTTCGATAATGTTAGAGAAGTCGTTGAAAGTTATGAATTCAATACCAGGGGAAGCTTGAAACGTTTTCAGCCATGGAGGGCCAAGGAATTTTGGGGAGCAGAGCAGCTTGCTAAAACAATATGTGAGCAAATTTGTTCATGGGTGTCGACAGGTGATGACATAACCAACACAACCCAATTGTTGGATTCTTCTCCACTAAAGAAGGCCATGAATGGAGAGATTTTGAACCAGAGGTTAGAGAGATTGGGACTGAAATTGAAGGTGCCATTTTTGCAGAGATACAGAGAGAGATTGTCCAAGAAATGGTGGAAGAATCACTGTGCAAAAGATACCCATTTCTCTAAAGCTTCTGAAAATGTCCCAGACTTTAGAAGAGTTTTTCAAAACTGAATTTGCAGAGATGGGATTTTTTACTGTTTTAAGTTCTCTTTTCCCTGATCTGCATAGAAGTCTAAAAGATTCAATTGAGCACAACCCAAATGGAGAAAACATTCCCTACTGTGCAGAAAGGAGGGCAGGTCCCAATCATGATCTTCCTCTCTCTCTAAAGGGGCATGTACCATATGGCTCTCTCTCTCTTGACCTGCTCAATTCCCCTATCTCCCTAGGTCTTTAACTAGTCATCTCCCTCTTTCTTTCTCTCATTTTTTTTGTTTTTCTTTGGGGAGCGACAATGATTGGCTCATGGAGAGAAGTTTGTAGATAGTAGGCACCCCGATTAAACTGGCTCTGTTATTTACCTAACTAGGTACTTTCCATGTAAAAATTTGCTTCTCTTTCCGTTCTTTTTATTTTTCTAGCAAGTAAAGGAGCATTAAATTGATGTGGACGTGATGGCAACCTATGTTTGAAGAAAAAGATAAATTAAATATTGATGCTGGGTGTAACACTGTTTCAGATAAGAGGATGAGGTGTGTATGGTCTCAAATTTGGAATTCAATTATTTAACCTTTTACGGAATTACAAAAAACTCTAAAAAATGTACCATTTATGTAATTTATCCCCCCGCCAATTTTTTTTCTCACTTTTTTCTCCACAACGACTTTTCCTCACAAAACCCCCAAGGTAAAAAATTACTAATTTTTGGATGGAAATGTCCTTCTTGTACAAAAAAATTCAATTGACGGTCCCAAGTTACGTATTGCCGAAGCATAGAATAACACTGTCAGAGCGCTTTGTAATGATTGTCGGATCGGAATAGGTACTGTCGGAGCATTGTGGTTCCAGAAGGTGTATCGACGGAGTGCCTTCATCTACTGCTGGAGTGCTGAAAACATTGTCGGAGTGCCCTAATGCACTGTCAGCGTGCTGTGGCTCTAGCGACCCTACTGCCAGAGTGCATTTTTAGAGTGTCGGAGAGAAATGTCTCCAAAAGGTGTACTGCTAGAGCGAGATCATGTAATACCGGAGAAAATTCGCCTACTATCGGAGCGAACTACCACACTTTTGGAGCGTTGTGGGTCCAAAATGTGTACTGTTGAAGCGAATGTATGTACCACCAGAGCGACGTAATCAACCGCTGGAGTGCCCTGGCTTCAGAAGGTCTACTGTCAGAGCGAGTTTTCATTTTGTCGGAGCGTGTTGTTTTCGTTGCCGAAGAGAGAGAGAGAAAAGGCGTGTGAAAAAAGGTATTTCAGATTTTTTTTTTATTTTTTTGGGTTTGGGGGGGGGGGGGTTGTTGCGAAGATACGTCGTTAATGGTAAAGAGGTGAGAGAATAAAGTTAGGTGGGGGGTAAGTTGAATAGACAATGTATATTGAAGGGGTTTTGTAATTTTCCCTTAACGTTGTCCAAGAATTTCTTATCATTAAAGATGATCATTAAGGAATTTGTTACGGGGTAGGTTCTTGTAAAAAGAGCGGAAAAGTTTACATAGAGCCTAAGCTCTAAACAATCAAATTAGAGCCTACCTCAGAACTTTCCCTGGAAGGAAGAGGCATGATGATCCCGATAAGGGTAAAAGTTCATTGCAAAGTATTCCACATGTGTAGTGAATAATTTTTTTTACAGCCATTCAGATAGTATAATAAAATAAAATGATAACATTTTGTGATTAAGGGGGAGAACATTTCATACAGATTTATGAAATATATAATAAGACATGGAAATGATCTAATGCAACGATGGTATCATAGTATAATGTAAGTACATTTCTAAAAAACTATATTTGTGCTATTTGTATGACTCAAAATTTCGCATACACACTCTCTTTAACTCAATAATAATTTTTTTTAAAAAACAAAACTAATTTGTACCTTATATACGATCAAAATAAGTCCCTTCCAACAATGAATCTTGACAATCCATTTGATGAATTTCAAGATCTAGGTCTTTATAAATTCAAAATTATTTTTTTAAAATATTGTTAATCTAATGATAATAAAATTACAAATAAAATTTGAAAATAAAAGAAGTTATTCTATGGTCTAGATCTAAGCATCGTCCAAAAATGGACGGCCTATGTTAATTGGGCTAAAAAAATACTTTATAGTTTGTTTTTTTTCAAATTTTTATTTTTTGTGATTGTTCATTAGAATAAAAAGAGTGTATAATTTAAAATTTGGATCAAACAAATAGGCCAGACATGTTTTTTGAATATTGTTGCATTATATTACTATACAACCGTTATATAAAATCATTCACAAATAAGACAATTTACTTCTAGTACAAGAAAGCCATAATCAATGGAAGCATTAGGTGTGAAATTAGATAATTAAGACTGTCCTATTAACAAGGCTCTAACTTTAAAAGAAAGATTTCCAAAGTTTATGACACATCCAAGCAATTAGATTTAAATATGACGGATATCATTTTTTCCCCGCTAAATTAGCAACGAGTTTGAGCAGGTCGAAATAAAATATATACTAGATGGGAGTTACAGTGATCTATGCTCTCACTCTTCCATGTACAAAATGTCTCTCTGAATACTCTAAAAAAGACTCCAGAATTCAATTTCCCATCTTCTATGTATCATTGTCCTTTGATGGGACCAATCTACTATTCTTGATATTTCAAATCACTTCCCTTGGAAGCCTTTCTAGGGTTTGTTTCTTATCCTCTTTTGCTCTCCAGTTTCTTTCTTGCCAAATAATCCATATGGGGCCATATTTTTTTGGCTAGATTTGATGGATATCAATGGCCGCTTTGTATCAAAGATAAGAAAAAGTATAGAATGAGACAATTACCTTTCATACAAGATGGTCACATTAATCTTGACCATTGGATGTGAAATCATGTGGTTGCAATTATTCTATTGATTAACCTCAAAATTCAAATTTTTTTTTTTCGAACTTTGTGACACATTCAAGCTATCAAATTTCACATCGCATGGTTGTAAGTAATTGTGACTACCTCGTATAAAAAATAAATGGTGCAATTGCATACAATCCCCAAAAATAAATAGCATTATAAAGTTACAATCCCAATACTCCAATTTTTATTTTTTGATGTGAAACAAATTTTTTTTAATATCGAAGTCGTTCCTAAGATACTTTGGGTCCTAAGGAGAGGATAAGATGTGAGTTAGATGGCCACTTATGAAAACCTAGTATACTTGGGATGCCCACTATAGAGAGACAAACTAGCATAGCTTTATATTTTATGCAAAAGTAGTGTTTGGTTTGTTCAAATGTGGCGTGCTTTACTTAGTTTATTGCCCACAAGAAGACTTTTTCCATCCTATAAAGAGTAGTAATAGAGAGAATCTTTACGGCAGTGTCTTTTATCCACCAAACAATGAGCTTAAATTATTGTAAAATATATCTACCATTAATGGGTGGAGTTCGCATGAAGTTGCAAAAAGTAAGGTGCAGCTAAGAAAGGGGCTCGTTCGTGGTGGTAGCACCCCATACTTAGCTGTCACGTGGTTTTCAATAATGCTTACACTACCCGTTGGCACCTTCAAATAAAAGTTAACTCCCTAATTTATATGAAAAAACGAAGATGGGTTTGTCTTCCTAACTGAATTACTCAAAAAAGAAAAGAAAAAAAAAAGTAATGTGAACTTCTAAATTTTATTATAAAATATAATTTTGATGTCAAAAATTCTTATAATGGATTGAAATTCTATTTTCATATCTAATTGTAAAATTTTAATATCCAAAAATTGTTCAAATCAAATAGATATATAAACCCATGAAAATCTTAAAAATAAACCATCCAGATAATGTGTTGTAAGATAATACTATTTTTTGGGACTCAAAATTCTTTTTTTTTTATTTTCATATATTTTGATGTCAAGATGATCAATTAGAGGATTTTTCAACATCAAAACAACCTTTTCCAATGGATTTTTGTGGCATATGTTAATTCATAATGTATTATAAGGTACACTATTTTAATTCTTAAGGTCGTTCATTAATTAGTCTATGCATTGAAGGTTATCCAATATGCATTTTCGGTGTTAGAAATATTTGTATATTTATTTGGTAATCGACTTGCATGCCTAGTTTTCTTGGATTCATCAATAGTGTAGTGCTTCCACCCTTGTTCCCCTTCCTTGGTGGGAGATGATTGGTCATTTCTACGTAACTTTACTTTTCATTTTTACAGGAGAGTAGCGATAATTATCGCCGATAATATAAATTTATTGGATTTTTCTTGTGATAATTTAGAAAGACTATAGTATTTCTGATACTACTTCGATACATATGAAATTATCACGATAATTAAGAGATTTTTGCTAAATATGAGCTTAATCTTCTCAATTATATCGGGTTTGATTCAAATTTCGGACTTATTTGAAAAATTGGATTTTCAAATATAGAATAGTTTATGATTGATTGCTAGTTGCTATATAAAAATGATTGCAGTGGAATTTTGTTATTTATTTATTTATTTTTTCTATTGTAAGCTTGAAGTAAAAAAAAGTTAAAACAATAATTTCCGTTTTTATGGTAAACATGAAATATAGAACATCCAACGGTCCGAGGGATTTCTTCATAGAAAATATTGTTCATATTGATATTTAGTTATTTTTAATAAGAGTATTCATATTAAATATTTTTCTTAAAGATAAATTTTTCATTAAAAGGACTCACTCGATAATATCCTGATAAAAACCCTTGACACTAATATATCAATAAATTCAGCGAGTTATAGAGTAACCTGTGTGCACAGAAGTGATGTTCCAACATTTGTATGTTGATGCTCTTTTTTTTCTTATTGGGCTTATAAGGAACTATATGAAAAAATATTTATTGGCTCTCCTTCGAGCCCACTATGACAAGTGTTTTAAAAAGTGAATCGATTGTCTATAAAGAGACTGTTTATCTTTTGTATAAATAGGTCACAATCTTTATTGTCTTTTAAATTTTAAAATGGGTAGTTGTAACAGTACTATTGAAAATACTATTGAAAAGTCATAATGTTCAAAAAAAAGAAATTCTCAAATTTTGTGACTCACCCCAAATCATCCAATTTGATTGAAAATAATTGTGACCCCTATGTACAAAAGATAAATGATATCTTTGTAGATCTAAATGTATAAAAGATAAATAGTCTTTTTGTAGACAATCTCAATAAAATATTACACGGATCTGTCTTACCCATTTGTATCATGTTTAACATACATGAAAAATAATACAAATTAGATAGAATACAGCCGATTCTCATGCCCCGGAGGAAATCGCCCAAGCAAGCCCCTAAATCTGTTCTAGATCAGCGATTCTCATCTTGGAAAATTTCTAAACCATGTTATGAACTAATGTTGTCATATTTACTTAAGAGTCTTCCTTGATTTGTTGAGAAAAATGAAACAATTTAATTCTTCGGTCGATTTCGGGGATAGATTTTGGATTTTTTTTTAAAAATAATATAAATAAATCATAATTTTATATAAAAATAATGAAAAATAAAATTTTTAAAAATACAAAAAAAAATACTTTTA